ATATTTTAATTGTATATAAGTTTTAAGTTCTTAATTTTATAGGGCAATAGTAAAACAAAAAAATCCTGAATTTACCCTGAAAGAAAAAAGGGGTAACTTTGATTTATTTCGATTTTGTTCTTTGGTAGTTAGGAGATCAGTCAAATTAACCAACCTTGTAAAAAGTTAGGGTAGAGAAAATAACAGATAAAATAATTTCATACTTATTGGAGGGGTGGTGGATAAAATAGAGAAGAGAAGATGCATAGAGAAAATGTGTCACATATGTCACACTAGGGGAAATTCAGGATTTTTTTTTACCATTGCCTTATAAAATTAAGAACTTAAAACTTGTATACCATTAAAATATGGATTATTAGTTAAGGTTTTATGCTATATTAATTGGTATAACATAAACAAAAAGTAGTATGTAAATCACTAAAACCTTGTGACATGTGCAGTAAAAGATGATCACTGCAATACAGTAATGAGTAACACAAATATTAACAATTCACTGTAAACAACCACAGTATAAAATTACCTTAAAAGTTCAAATAGTTTTCATTAAAACTTAATAAACTACTTTTATGTAAACTTTAAAGCACTCAAGATATGAACATGTATTAAATGTAGTTTACAATGAATATTACAGTTTATTTAAAAATATTATTTTACCTTCTTCCTTTTTGACTTTAAGTTTGGCTTGAGATTTTCGAAAGAGCCTCAGGTGGGATGCAAAGTCATCGACTAGACGGGTGGTGAGGTATGGAACCCATTCTACGTCCTTGGACCTGAAATCCAGTACAGAGAAAAAGAAATTTTACTAAATACAAACTCATTGTATTAAATACCTCACAGCTGGATACAATTTAACATTTGTTATCAGATGCAAGAAAACAAATTGAAACTGTAACAGAAGATTAAGTACTATGCAATATTACTGGGAAGTACACCTTTAATTATGAATAAACCAGTCTCCACCATACCACGTGCCCTATATAACTATGACTTGACACTTACAAAGTAAAGAATCTGCCCTGGTTAGCCCCACAGGCCTAGCTGAACTGTTCTGAGGCATTTTGTGACACTGTCTTTATAAAAAAAGGCTGTTGTCAGTTCTTGGGCATTTTGTGACACTGTCTTTATAAAAAAAAAAAAGCTGTTGTCAGTTCTTGGGCATTTTGTGACACTGTTAAAGGGGCTGTGGGATTTAGTTTTCTTTGAAAATGAAGCAAGATTACTAACCATACGTGGATATAAGTGTTGGTGTGTACAAAATGGATATGATACACTAAGATTACTAACCATACCTGGTTAGTAATCTTAGTGTATCATATCCATTTTGTACACACCAACACTTATATCCAGGTAGGGTTAGTAATCTTAGTGTATCATATCCATTTTGTACACACCAACACTTATATCCATCATATCCATTTTGTACACACCAACACTTATATCCAGGTATGGTTAGTAATCTTAGTGTATCATATCCATTTTGTACACACCAACACTTATATCCAGGTAGGGTTAGTAATCTTAGTGTATCATATCCATTTTGTACACACCAACACTTATATCCAGGTACGGTTAGTAATCTTAGTGTATCATATCCATTTTGTACACACCAACACTTATATCCAATGATACACTAAGATTACTAACCATACCTGGATATAAGTGTTGGTGTGAACAAAATGGATATGATACACTTCTGATTGTACATGCCTCATCTGTTGTCCATATTTATTCAGTAAACTAAACCACTGAAACGGATATAAAAGGAAGGAAAGTGCAAGGAGAAGGTAGAAAGAAGACTCATTTGTAGGCTTTTTGTTAACAACTGGGTAAATATTGTAAATCCAGACATATGGTAGAGTTTCCCTAACACAATGAAATATGCAAGTCTTATCGACGCACGCACAACCAAATGATCGCTACAGAGATTTCAAAGTCTAACTATACTTGGAACAGGTTACTCTGTAGGACATGAGGTAATCTACTTCACTAGATATCTTTCAAAAGTTAAAGAGAATGGTCAGTGAAATAGTCCAATGATGCCGTTCCTTTTATATTGATACATCAAGACGTCGTGACGTGTTTGATTGTTTCACTTGTTGTTTTAATAGCATTTCAATCTACTAAATAAGGTTATACAAAAATAAAAAACAATAGCATTAAGGTTGTTCGTTATAATATTCAAAAACGTTATATTTTAATTTCAAAACTTAAGTGTCACCTAGAAAATGACAAACTTCATCACAAAACTACATACATTATTTGTAAAAGAGCAAAACAACTGCAAAAAGACAATAATCTTTAAAAAATTGACAAGCTGAGAAAATTATTTCAACTAAAACCACGTTCTAAACAAAAACCGATGTTAAAATACTTACTGATGTGTTGTAATAAATTTACTACATTTACTTTACACAAAGTCTGTAACAAAGGAAACTTAACCTGGCCGAGCAGTTGATGATCACTTTGTGAACCAATTCTCTTAGATGACCAAGAAAATCTTCATCTGTAGAGATGTAACCATACCAGGAGTGAACATAATCTCGAAAAGTGTATTCTATTACCTGGTTGAGTACGAAGATAAAATATAAGTGTCTTATATTACTTAGTTGAGAACAAAGATAAAATACAAGTGTCTTATATTACTTAGTTGAGAACAAAGATAAAATACAAGTGTCTTCTATTACCTAGTTGAGGACAAAGCTAAAATATAAGTTTTCTATTACCTAGTTGAGAACAAATATAAAATATAAGTGTCTTCTATTACTTAGTTGAGAACAAAGATAAAATATAAGTGTCTTATATTGCCTAGTTGAGAACAAAGATAAAATATAAGTGTCTTATATTGCCTAGTTGAGAACAAAGATAAAATATAAGTGTCTTATATTGCCTAGTTGAGAACAAAGATAAAATATAAGTGTCTTCTTTACCTAGTTGAAAACAAAGCTAAAATATAAGTCTTCTATTACCTAGTTGAGAACAAATATAAAATATAAGTGTCTTCTATTACCTAGTTGAGAACAAATATAAAATATAAGTGTCTTCTATTACTTAGTTGAGAACAAAGATAAAATATAAGTGTCTTCTTTACCTAGTTGAGAACAAAGCTAAAATATAAGTCTTCTATTACCTAGTTGAGAACAAAGCTAAAATATAAGTGTCTTATATTGCCTAGTTGAGAACAAAGATAAAATATAAGTGTCTTCTTTACCTAGTTGAGAACAAAGATAAAATATAAGTTTTCTATTACCTAGTTGAGAACAAAGATAAAATATAAGTGTCTTATATT